GATGCTTAATAAAACAGCAACGAAAATGACAATAATGTGTGTGTTCTGGGGGAGAGTGGGTTAAAGAATGAGAGAAAAGACCTACTGCCCACTGCACAGCCCCTGAAACCCACTGAAAAATCTCTAACTAGAGTACAGCCACTGACTACCCAAGGTATAACCTCTGGCTGCTTACTCCCTAGCCCCTGAATGCTCACTGCACACTCCATGACTACGTACACAGCTCCCTACCAGCTGTGGCACAGCCACTGATCACCCACCACACATCCCCTAACCATACCCTGTACAAACACTCGTTGCATGATCCCTAACCATATCCTCCCAGTACATGTAGGATTCGAGATCACAAAAGAAGATGCATACTTTGAACTAAAATGAAATGAAAATTTTAAATCGGACCTTAAAAATCCAGAAATAGGTCTTTTCTGTCAACAATTTTTAGACTACAAATGTTCAAAAATCTATTTTCAGCTTGCAAGTTGTCACCTAGAGACAGGGGAAATTAGGCCAGGTGATTTTTCTTAAGATGTTGGTCTCTCACTTTCTTCTCTACTTCTAGCATTTGAGTATCACCCTATATTTTCTCTTTCTGTCTTTTCTCCTCTTTCCCTTTCTTGTCCCTCTTTAAACCACTGACTCTCAAATGGTTCTTTCCATGGAGAGGAGACAGATCACCAATGGGATCCTGGAAACCTGAAGGGTAGTGAGAAGAGGAGAAGGTCTGAGGACACCTTACTTTGGAGACACTCAGCTTGCAAATCAGAGGGGAAAACATGCAAAATGGAGACTCCTTGAGAAAGCTTGAATGGGATGAAAAGCTGACAGGGATCTGCACCTACCATACAGACAATCCTGAAACGATGCTGTGGTTATGCTTCCCGGGGTGGCTTCAGTTTGCCTAGAAAGGGAATTTACACACCTTTTGAGCATCTGATTTTAACCTCGACTTTTTATTCTACCTCTCCCAATTACCAGCAATCTTCCCAAACTGCTCTGCATCCCGGAGGTAGCTGATTAGATGGTTAAGAGCCAAGTTGAATTCTAAAATGCTCACCTCGGAATGATGGTTTTTAAAAAAATTCCAAAAATTTTGTTGTTGTTGTGATTGTAGAGGTGGATACTGAAAATAGTCCTTCTGGGCTTCTCTGCTGATGCTTTCATGATGATGGACTCACATGGGACATTCAGCTCCTCCGAACTCCTCAGGGACAATGTCTTCTGAAGTACTTTCCTCAAGACAAACAGTAATTTTGACATAATAGTGTGCATAGGTAAATAGTGGAATAGGTAAATAAGAGAACAGACAGGCTCTTTGCTTTTTTTTTTGTTTTGTTTTCAAGGCTTTTTTTTTTTTTAATTTGGAGAAGTAAGTCATTACTATTTAGAGTAGATGAATTGATTGTTGTAGTTTGTTACTGTTTTCATTAATATAGGAGAATTTTGAGATTCCCTTTTTAGTTCCTTAATATTGCTTGGTAAATAAGAACACTTAGTGAGTGCCCTGAGAATTGAGCTGCATTCCTTTGCAGTGGTTATAGCTCCAATGAGATGATATCTGTAGCAGTAGAAAGCCATAATCCCTGTATCAGTGAAAGAATATCAGCATTAGAAGAGAGTCTGAAGACTAAGTTATTCAGACCATTAAACTCTTACACTTAAAGAAAAATAAATGAAGCCTTTGTATATTATACTAAAACAAATATTGAAATAATATTGAATATCTCCCAATATACTGAGAAGCCTAGAATAGTAGACTGTGATGAGGTGAGAAATATGAAGCTACATATCAGCCAGAGACACTGGCAAAATCAGAAAATGCTTAAAATCAGGAAATTCTTAATGCTTCCATATGCTTTATAACACAGTGCAGGCATTTATCATCCCAATAATGAAGAGTTATCCCCTTTCAACCTGGACACAGCTCAGTCTGCGGGTTAACTGTGGGCATGGTGTGTAACCAGACACACGAATTCATGGCTAATATTTGAAACAATGAGATGGTAGAAAATAAAATATGTCAGTCTATTACTGTGCTTTCTCTATCAGCCACAGAAAAGGGAAATGTGAGTAGACCCAAATTCATTTTTTGATAATTTGTTCACCCCTCTTCTAATCTTCTTAAGATTGGTCTTTTAGACAACAGACTTTATCATAATTTAATTCTTGATGTTTCACATAGAGAAAAAAATTATAGGGAAGTAAGAAAACTAACACAAACAAACAAACAAACAAACAAAAAACAATATACTATCCTGCATCACCTCAAGGTATCGTTTGACTCATTTGCTCTGCATGCAGTTACTGTGGAAAGAGAAATTGTGCCTCAAGCAGTCCACTGAGTGGATGATAAATCAAAGCCCCACTCTGTGGGGATTTCTTTGAATTTTCAGGTTGCCTCCTCTGGCACCCAGTTATGGATCTTACTGTGAATTTTAGCAGGGTAGAATATTTTAGTTTGGGAACCTAGGTTTGCTATAGGCTGGCTCATAAAACTTGTGAAGCAGTAGCAGAGTTGGAGAAGTGAAGGGTGTGTCATCTGAGTGAAAGAGGCCGTATGGGCCCTACGTAGGCCATGACACGTGAGTAGACACTCTCATCTTCCCACTGGCAACTGTTTTTAATAGACTGCAGAGTCCAGGGTAGTAGTGGATTGACTTTCCCTTTGAGAATGAACTCACTCTGAACAGGAAACATAAAGCCGGTTTGGAGATACATAATTTAAGATTTTTTTTTATCTCTTTCTATACTTACATATTATCAAGAAACTTTTTGTGTCTTTTTATCCTCAATCCTTTCCATCACCAGTATAAAATTAGATAGTTTGAAATAAAATGGATTTGAGCTATAGAAAGCAATACAGTATCTTAAGTCCCTTCCACCCCCAGGAAACTAGCTTTGGACATTGAGAACAACATTCTGTTGAGAGTGCTTTGTTTATACTATACTCTCTGCAGGCTCCTTCAAGGTGGCGCCTAGGCTTGGTCTACAATGATAAGGTTACAATGTTAGTCAAGTATGTTACATATAGTCCTCACTTTGGCAGCTGTCTCTGACTTCTGACGTTTTCTATTCCATCAATTCTATTTTCTCCCTTTCCAGAAGTTTTAGGTTTTATCATAACTTAGCACACTCATTGGCTGACCTGGGTTATCTTTGAGATGTGGAACTTTCTCCTGAGGGATACAAATTCTTATTGCTGGATTGTTGTGGCAATTACTTATTAAAATGTCATATAACAGTGTAGACTTACTCTGTTTTAGGATCTAAAGACCAAAAAGCCTCAATTGCATGAACTGGCCTTTGTATTACAGTGAGGTGAACCAATCCCACTGTAACCCACTGGCTCATAAATATATTCATTTTGCCTGAGGAGATTTACTGTACTTCTCAGAAATTCATTCAGTGAATAAAAATAATCCAGAGAACAGTACTCTAGTTCCAAGATGTTTTTTTTTTCTTCACTTGCAACATTATGCCTTGCTAGGTTATCACATCAATCATTTACAAAATGTGGTAAAAGAATGAATTCAATTTCAATCGGCACAATATTTTACCTTATTTATCTTAAAATGGCCCCTCTAGTGCCATGCAATTTTCCCAGCATGTTTTGATGGTGAGAGTTAAGGTTTTCTGAATCATTGAATGATGCTTCTACAATCCTGCAGAGAAGGATGGATTGTTAATATTTATCCCTGCTGACGGTCTATATGAACTTTGTAAAGCATGGAGCTAATTTTCCCAGTAATCCTTTTGCTCATAAATTTCAGAACTAGATTAGCTAAGATAACTTACAGAAAACTCTTAGGACAGAAGTGTGGCAGAAGCCATTTTTCTTAAGATGTCTCACATTGTGCCCTCACAGGTGAGGGAGAGAGTTGAAGTGTCCGAGTGGCCCTAGGAAGTCCCCGCTCTCCTGTGCTTCTATCCTACACACTCCAGGACGTGTTGAGTGACAGCACATATCCAGAATGGGTGAAAGCGGTAGGGTTAGAAGGTCCTAGGTTTAAGTGGCAAAAAAAAACATATTAACAACAACAAAAAATCCCTCATAAATCAGATGACAAGAAGTTGGTGCCTTTTACTCCTCCAGTTTTCCAGAAAAGAAAAGAAAAAAGAAAACGAAAAGGAACAGGAGGCATAATAGTCACCAGCTATGCCACTCTTGTACATATACCCAAAAGATGTTCCATGCTGCCACAGAAACACTTGCTCAACTGTATTCTTAGTGACTTTATTCACAATAACCAGAAACAATTTAGATGTCCCTCAATTGAAGAATGGATTTTTAAAAAATGGTGCATTTACACAATGGAATACTACTTAGGTCTTTAAAAAAAAAAAGACATCATGAATTTTTCAGGCAAATGAATGAAACTAAAAAAAAAAAATCATCCTGTCTGAAGTCACCCAGACCCAGAAGACAAACATGCTATGGACTTACTTATAAGTGTGTATTAGCTGTAGGTGAAAACCTACAGAAAGGTTAAATAGCAAGGAGGACTCTGGGGCGGGGGAGTGTGCATGAATCTCCTTGGATAGGGGTAATAGAATAGCTGTTGTGGGTACAATGGGTGCACATGAGAACGGGAACAGGTGGAAAAAGTGGAGGGAGGAAGGGAGAGAGCATGGGAAGGGACAGCTGCATTTTGGTGGCAATGTGGAAACCTAGAGCGGTAGAAAGTCCCAGGATTCTATGAGGGTGACCCTAGGGAGGACTCCTAGTAATTCATGTAGCAGGTCCAAAGCCATCAGCTTGTCATCAAAAGCATGTTAGTTGTCTTTGAGGGAGCAATTGCTATAGAAGAACACAGAAAATTTAAACTCAAAGGCAATTGTATTCATGGCAAATTGGGAAATGAATGCGGATGAAGACATGGCACACGAAGAAAAAAGCTTCAGAGCCAAATGTAAAAGAAATATGAATCTTTTAATTGTTTGTCCTTCAGAACTGATTGAGTAAACTGACAGATACTCTGTTCAGTGTCTCCCCACCCAAGCTGTCAACTCCTGTCAAGAGCTGCTGCATGGAAGATGCAGTTCCTCTGAGCATCTTTGACATCCTTGTTCCTGAGGGTGTAAATCAGAGGGTTGAGTAACGGGGTACCAAAGGTATAAACCAGGGCAATTTGGCGGTCCTCATCATCTGAGATGCTGGAGCGAGGCCTCAGGTACACCAAGCTACAGCAGCCATATTGCAGCAAACCCACAGTGAGGTGGGAGGAGCAAGTGGAGAAGGTCTTCTGGCGACCCTCTGCAGAGCGCATGCGCAAAATGGTATTGGCAATAAATATGTAGGAAATAAAGATCAGCAGGAATGGGAGTGTCAGCACTAGGATGCTCACTACATAGAGGACTGCCTGGTTCACACGGATATCAGCACAGGCCAGGCGCATGAGAGGAGCCACATCGCAGAGGAAGTGGTTGATTTCCAGGTGGTGTCTACAGAAGGGCAACGTGAAGGTGAAGGCAGTAAGCTGCAAGGAGAGAAGGAGTGCCAGGCCCAAGGACCCCAGCACCATCTGGACACACAACTTCTGGGTCATGATGAGACCGTAGTGTAGTGGATGGCAGATGGCCACATATCTGTCATAAGCCATGACTGTCAGGAGAAAACAGTCAGTGCAGCCAAAGGTAGAAAAAAAGAACATTTGTACTCCACAGCCAGCCAGTGATATGGGCTTCTGAGCCCGAGATGTTGGAGAGCATCAAGGGCACCACATCTGTGGTGTAGCAGATTTCCACAAATGACAGACTACCCAGGAAAAAGCACATGGGTGTGCGCAGGGAGCTGTGCGTGCACACCACGCAGATGATAGCAGCGTTGCCACAGACGATCATCAGATAGAGGAGAAGGAAAAGGAGGAAGAGGAGAGCCTGGAATTCAGGGACATTGGTGAAGACGCGGAACACGAACTCTGGTGCATCAGATTTGTTGAAGAAAGGCTTACCAGCCACCATATCTTCTGAAAAATAAAAAAAACAAAAGAGTGATTGCTGGCCTAGATAAAGGGCAGGGAGGCTGAGTGTGAGTTTTGATGAGGATCACCTGTGTAGTATTCTGTTTCTGTTTTGCTTTGTTTCACGTTTAAAACCTTTATTTTTATTTTCTGTGTAATTTTCCTTCATGTCTATCCGTGCAGCGCATGCTTGCAGTGCCCATAGAGGCCAGAAGAGGGCAAAATATACTCTGTAATTGGAGTTACCCAGGACTGTGAGCTACCTTGTGGGAATGGAACCATGGTCTTCTAGAAGAGTAATCATACAGTAAACATTTTACTAATGTATCATATGCTGTGGCAAAAAGTTGCATTATTTTAGATTTATTTATTCATTTAATGATTATGAGTGCTCTATCTGTATGAATACCTGCATTCTCGAAAAGGAGGGCATCAGACCCCAACACAGATGGTTATAAGCTACCATGTGGTTGCTGGGAATTGAACTCAGGACCTCTGGAAGAGCAGACAGTGCTCTTAATTGCTGAGCCATCTCTCCAGCTAGGGGTCAGCCTTACCAGGCCACAGAGGAAGACAATGCAGCCACTCCTGAAGAGACCTAACAGACTAGGATCAGAAGGAAGGAGAGGAGGACCTCCCCTATCAGTGGACTTGGGGAAGGACATGAGTGAAGAAGAAGGAGGGAGGGTGTGATTAGGAGGGGAAGAAGGAAGGAGCTACAAAGTGAATAAACTGTAATCAATAAAAAAAAAGAAATGGAAGAAGACAGGCAGTTTAACCAACTAAGAAGGAGAGGGAAAATTTGGAGGGGAAAGGGCAGGAGAGTGGGAATAAAAATCGAGAATAGAGGGGGCTGGGGGATCAAGCTGTAAGTGAATTAAATAGATAGATAGATAGATAGATAGATAGATAGATAGATAGATAGATAGATAAATGGGAAATAAAAGAAACGGAACAATTTCAACAACCTAAAAACAACATCCATATTTCCCTCAGGCTTTACTCTTCATAAGTAACCATTCTTGACCTTTACCACTGCAGATTAGGTTAACTGTGTTTCAATTTCTGTATGTAATTATAAGGCATGTAGTTTATTGTTCATGACTAAATGCAATTAAGACAACTTTTGAACAAAGGTCCTGGGTTCCTAAATGACTGATCAGAATGTGTGACACACAGAAGAAACGTTGTAAGGTAAAATAAGACGTTTCGAACAAATCAATAATAAAACATGTTTAATATTAATCAGTAAATTCAAATCTTAAGATTAAAATAATTATAAATAATTTTTGAAAATATAATATCATATGCCATGTGTGTCTTTCTGCTTCTAGGTTACCTCACTCAAGATGATCTTTTCTAGTTCCCACCATTTGCCTTTAGAAAGACACACAAGGTATATACTCACTTATAAATGGTTATTAGATATATAATATAGAATAAGCATACTAAAATCTATACTCCTAAAGAAGCTACACAACAAGGAAGACCTTAGGGAAGATGCTCAATCCTCATTCAGAAGGGCAAATGTGATAGACATCAGAAGCAGGAGAAGACAGGGAACAGGACAGAAGCCTACCATAGAGGGCCTCTGAAAGACTCCACTGATCAAGGTATTGAAGCAAAGGGCAAAGGCTGAGACTCATAGCCAAACTTTGGGAGAATGCATGGAATTTTATGAAAGAACGGGGAGATAGAAAGACCTGGAGAGGACAGGAACTCCAAAAGAAAACCAATAAAGCCTCCCCCCTCCAAAACAAACAAACAAAACTGGGCTCTGGGGCTCCTGCAGAGATTGATACCCCAACCAAGGACCATGCATGGAGAGGACCTAAAACCCCTGCTCAAATGTAGCCCAGAATCAGTCTCCAAGTAAGGGGAGCAGGGGCTGTCTCTGGCATGAACTCAGTAGCAGGGTCTCTGATCACCTCTGCCTGGGCAGTGCAGCCTTACAGAGGAAGACAATCCAGCCAGTCCTGATGAGACCTGACAGTCTAGGGTCATATAGAAGGAGAAGAGATCCTCCCCTATTAGTAGACTAGGAGAGGGGTATGGGAGGAGAAGAAGGAGGGAGGATGGGATTGGGAGGAGTCAGGGGAGAGACCCACAGCCAGGAAACAAAGTGAATAAACTGTAATAAATAATAATAATAATTAATAAAACATGCAAAATAAGAAAATAATATGAATTGTAAAAAGTCAAAACATGAAAATTTAAACTAAAATTTATATAGTTGTCAAACTTACAAAAAAGAGATAGGAGAAAGTATAACATACTAAAGTCCTGTTTGAAGAGAATAAGACACCACTTTTGATGTCTTATTTATTTGCTAAGTTCTTTTTTTTTTTTTTTTTTTTTTTGAGAAATGGTATTACTGTATGACTTGGAGCTCACTATTTAGACCAAGCCCACTTCCTGATTACTGATTATGGCTGTGTGACCCCATACCTGGCAAGAGGTACTTTTATAGCTGTGAGATACATGTTTACCAAATTAATATGTCCGGGAAATCATGCATAGTATAAACAAAGAATATTCATTCCAAATAAGCAAACAATGTTCTGAAACTAAAATACTGTAGAGTAAAAAGGGCTGAAGACAAAGAGAAGGTGATAAAGAGAGTTTAAAATGAGCTGAGAAAAGTGTTTTGCTAGTGAAAATAAGCCCAAGCAGGTATTTTTTTTTTTATTTTCCTTAAAGATAAAAATTTCATGCACACAAGTCAAAGTGTCTGAGCAAAGTCAAATACAGTGAAACAGGTGTTCACCACCGCTTTGATTTTTCCTTCCTCCATGGTTGTTCGATACAGTGAACAGAGATACCAATGACTAGATCATCCGAATAAAAATACAAGAGGATCAACAGCACATGTAAGGCTCAGTAAGAAACTCACAACGGTTGTTACTCCCAGAAGTAATGTAGTAGATAATTTCTTACCTGATTTCACCTACTGGATGTGTCAGCCAGTGTTCTTCACTTAAAACTCATCCACACTGTGCCTTTTCTCTGCCTAATGGATATATATATATATATATATTTTTTTTTTTTTTCATGTACAACGTACAACACTGGAGAACTTTGTTGAGACAGATTTGGCTGATCAATACATAGCGGAAAGCAAACAATTAAACTGTTGATGTCCTTATTGAACTGACCTGTTGGGCTAATGATAAGAAACTCATTTGTTTTATACTTACCCCTTCGTGGCTGATTGATAGTGCCAATCCACAAATACTGTATTTAGAAAATGAAAATGCTCTTCAAAATAACAGAGAATCATGAGACCACAGAATTCTGCAGGTATAGGTCATATATAAAAGACATAGGTTACTTATAAAATGCACATAAAATTGAATGTCTAAGGAATTTAAGAGACATGTGATCCTACCTTTTTGTAGACTGTCTACCACAACTAAGGTCTTCAGAGATTAAGTCCACTGCAAATGAATGTGGTGGTTATTAGAATGCCCAATGCCAGAATTTACATCCTACTAAATTAGTTTAGAGATGGGCCCACATACATTGCCTCAAATATATTTCTCTCCTCATTTACACTCGGGATTTTGAAACATAGTTAACAGAACATAGACATCAAATAAATAAAACATTGGGATGATTCTGACAGTGCAGATGGCCATAATTCTACTGATTCATCACCTACAGATTGGGAAGGATATCGCACTAAGTTGATTTTCATTGAGATTTACTGAAGAAATACCAGTTGGAGAGTAAAGTGGTATTTGGAGTCTCTCTTTTTACCCCTCTCTCTATTGTATCATTGCCCAAGTCACTGTCTCTAAAAGAGTTTATGAAGGCCTGGCTTTGCTAGAGTTCAGGTGTCTCTCCTGAGAAGCTTGGCTTACAAATTTGAGAGGGAAGTATATGCTGAAATGTGACTTCAAGACAAAACTAAAACAGATAACAAATGGGCAAGGATTTACACCAAGGCCTTTTGGTGATTAAGTTCTAGACTGTTTCAGGATTGGCCACAATGGAGACTATTTTCTTTCTTTTTAAATTTCTTTTTCCTTTGTATTTTCTTTTTTGCACCCAGAGGGCAGTTTATCCTCCCTCCTCTCTCCCAGGCCCTCCACATCACCCTGCCTCTGCCTTCCCCATTCACTTCTTCAGAAATGTGTGCTTTCAGGGGTGCACATATGTAGTTCCAGCACTCAGAGAGGTAGAGACAGGGAGATATCTGTGAGTTCAAGGCCAGCCTTACTTACAAAGTGAGTCCAGGACAGCCAAGGCTAAACAGAAAACCCCTGTCTGGGAATAAAAACAAAACAAACAGAAAGAGGTAGGCTTCCCATGGTTATCAAGCAAACATGACATATCAAGTTACAGTAAGACTAGGAACCTTCAACTTAGACGTCCCTCAACCAAAGAACAGATAAATAAATCGTGGTACATTTATACCATTGAGTATTGCCAAACTCTTAAGCTCAGATGTAGCCCATAGACGTCTCAGTCTCCATGTGGGTTCCCTAGGAAGAGGAAAAGAGACAGTCTCTGGCATGAATTTGGTTGCCTGCTCCTTGGTCATTTCTCTCTGGTGGGGCAACATAGCCAGCCCACAGAGGAAGAGGATCCAGGTAGTCCTGATGGGACCTAATAGGCTAGGGGGTCATACAGTAGGGGAAGAGGACTTCCTCTATCAGTGGACTAGGGAAGAAGGATAGGGGAGAAAGAGGGAGAAAGGGCGGGACTGGGAGGAGATGAGGGAGGCAGATACAACTGGAATACAAATTGAATAAATAGTAAATTTAAGAAGAAGAAAGAAAAGAATAAGAAAATAAAGGAAATGAATTTTTTTAAAAATATCATGAAATTTCCAGACTTGTGTATTTTCAATTGATGATATCAAATCCAGCTTTCCTGTTCTACTGCACACTACTGTTGTGCAAATTGTTTTGAGTTTTTAAGGTGAGTTTTTATCTGGTTAAAATCAAGGGTCAAATTCCAAAAGCCACAGCTCTGACTGATGATAAAATCATAAAA